TTTATTTCATCTAGCTCCCCTATTTGACAAACATAAAAACCTCACTGATAGAAATTTCTAGTGCTCCCTCATATCTAACTCGACTTTCCTTCTTGGAAAGAGGAGAGGACTACACCTCTCAGCTCCTTGCAACTGTGTCACTTCCAGTCCAAGGAACTGAGGAGCCAATGAGCCATCTCTAGGTACTCTTGCTCTCCTTGGCCATGTGCCAAGATGCAGAAAGCCTGGATCCTGAGTCACTGCCTGGAGGAGAGTTACCCTGGAGAGTCACTTGACCTGCTTCATACTTCAGGTGAATACAAAATAAATCTCCAATGTGTTAAGCCACTGAGATTTAAGGTTTGTTGATTATTACATCAGGGTCTACCCTATCTTGATCAATAGGTACTCATATACCCCTAAAAAGGATCCTGATATACTTCCAAATGGGTAAAGAGGGACATCTCAATATTTTTAATAACTTGCTTTCTGTCAATCTTAATATTCTTTACTTTGTAATACTACCCCATATTGCAAGTAAATTGACTTTTCAAACTCTCCATGCTTCTCCATCTTTTACATTTTTACCTTAAAAAAGAAAATAATTATATTTTACTTACATTTAATATATAGATTAATACTGGGGCTTTCACTGGGTCCTATGTTACATCGTCATATGTCACCCACAGTGTTCAAGGTAGCCTATAATCATAATAGATTCCAGAACAAGGAAAGTGTAATGGGAGCACCTCAGCTATTCACTTACTTCCAGCTTAAGGCAACATGGGACAGTAAAGTAGAACTGTGGATGTTACCTAGTTTAAACTGAACTAACCCTCATGAAATAAACAAGGGGATTTAAATGTTTTTACTAGGATCAAAATGGTTTTGTGTATCATTAAAATTTACTTCAGTATACTATTTATTTTAATTTGTCTCTTCCATATTTAAATTTTTGTGAATAATATATTGACACAGTCACACATCATATAATTTACAAATAAATATACATATGTAAATGGGAAATCTACACTCAAAAAAATTTAATGATGAAAGCATAAGATAAAAGTAATTTTGGAACTGACAATTTAGAGAATGGTTTTCAACTTTGTCACTACTTGCATCATTACTAAACTGCTTTAACCATTTCCCAAAACAACTGAAAAACATAGAAAAGCAGTACAGAACTGGGGAAATGCACATAGATGTAATAGGTTCAGAGGATTTCTTGAACCAGTAAAGACAGAAAAAAATAATAATTATGGCCAAGGTGAAGGCATGGGTAGACATGCTTTGCTTCCTTGCACAATCAAAGGACAACAACAAATTTAAAAACAAGAAACAACCAGAACTGCCAAAAAATCAAACTGTATGAACGTCCAACAACCAAAGGGTTAAAGAAGAAACATTCCTTCAGACTGGTAGGTGGGAGAGAGACAGGTAGCCTGGGTGAAGAAGACACGCAGCAAGGCAGCAGACCAGACTAGCGAGGCAGCAGCTGGTGGACCTGGCAGTCCCACATTCACATGGATAAGCTGGAATGAACAACTATGGGATGAGACAGACCCGCACAACACAGGGTTCCAGTGTGGGAAACCAAAGCTTCAAAACCTCTGGCTGTAAAAATCTGTGGGGGTTGCAGTGGCAGGAGAAACTCCCAGTCTCACAGGAGAGTTTGTTGAAGAGACCCCACAGGGGTCCTAAAACATACACAAACCCACCCACCCAGGAATCAGCACCAAAAAGGGCCCAATTTGCTTGTGGGTAGTGAGGGAAGTGACTGAAAGTGAGAGCCAAGCAAGCAGCATTGTTCCCTCCCTGACCTCTCCCCAACATATAGCACCACCAACAGAACAAAGTGGGTTGCCCCCGCCCTGGCAAATACCTAAGGCTCCACCCCTTACAACATAACAGGTACACAGAGAGAAAGAAATATGGCCCAAATGAAAGAACAGATCAAAGTTCCAGAAAAGAACTAAGTAACAAAGAGATAGCCAACATATCAGATGCACAGTTCAAAACACTGGTAATCAGGATGCTCACAGAAATTTCTGAGTACAGATGCAAAATAGAGGAAAAAGTGAAGGCTATAAAAAGTGAAGTAAAACAAAACATACAGGGGATCAACAGTGAAGGGAAGGAAACCAGGACTCAAATCAACGATTTGGAACAGAAGGAAAAAATAAACATTCAGCCGGAATAGAATGAAGAAACAAGAATTCAAAAAAAATGAGCAGAGGATTAGGAATCTCTGGAACAATATTAAACAGTCCAACATCCACATCTTAGGGGTGCCAGAAGGGGAAGAGGAAGACCAAGAAATTGAAAACTTATTTGAAAAAATAATGAAGGAAAACTTCCCCCAACTGGTGAAGGAAATAGACTTTCAGGAAGTCCAGGAAGTTCAGAGAGTCCCAAAGAAATTGGACCCAAGAAGGACCACACCAAGATACATCATAATTAAGTTACCCAAAATTAAAGATTGGGAGAGAATCTCAAAAACAGCGAGAGAAAAGGAGAGTTATCTACAAAGGAGTTCGCATAAGACTATCAGTTTTCTCAAAAGAAACCTTACAGGCAAGAAGGGGCTGGCAAGAAGTATTCAAAGTCATGAAAGGCAAGGACCTACATCCAAGATTACTCTAACCAGAAAAGCTATCACTTAGAATAGAAGGGCAGATACAGTGCTTCCTAGATAAGGTCAAGTTAGAGTTCATCATCACCAAGCCCATATTATATGAAATGTTAAAGGGACTTATCTAAGAAAAAGATCAAAACTATGAGCAGTAAAATGACAACAAACTCACAACTGTCAACAACTAAACCTAAAAAACAAAAACAAACTAGCAAACAACTAGAACAGGAACAGAATCACAGAAATGGAGATCACATGGAGGGTTACTGGCGGAGGGGGGGGCGGTGAGGGGAGAATGCAGGAAAAGGCACAGTGAATAAGAAGCATAATTGGTAGGCACAAAATAGACAGAGGGAGGCTAAGAATAGTATAGGAAATGGAGAAGCCAAAGAACTTATATATACGACCCATGGACATGAACTAAGGACGGGGGAGATGCTGATGCGAGGGGGATGCATGGCAGAGGGGGAGAAAGGGGAGAAAAAAATTGAACTATAATAACATAATCAATAAAATATATTTTTTTGTTAAAAATCAATATGTAAAATCTAAGGAGTTTTAGGGGAAAATACAAAATAATATTTTTCTTACCCTGAAGTAACATTCAAACCCAAAATGTATAAAGGAAGATATTGACAAAATGACCATATTAAACATTTAAGACTACATAGTAATATATGAATAAAAAAAGTTAAAGGACAAGTAATAGAATAGGAAAGTATTTGCAACACATCTATAAAAGGTTAATAGTTTGTGGTTTTTTAGGGAAAATATTTTACAAACATTCAATCAAAAAAGGATAAAGAATACCAAAAAGTCATTTAAAGCTTTTTAAAAATAATAGAAATAGGCAAGGAATCTACAAAAACAGATTTAGTTTCAACAAATAATAAAGTAACAATTAAAATAACACATCATTGTCACAATCAGATTAATAAGTATTAAAAATATCGTTTTTTTAAAAAAGAAAAAACAGAAATAATAATTAAGAGCATTTATTTGATTTAGGAGTAAAAGACAAGGCTTTCTGTTCCAACTAAAAATCATATTTTCACATCTGAAAACCAACAAAGGTTCTGGCAGGTAATCAAAGGAACAAGGTGACTACTTTCCACTCAGGAGGAAAACAAACAGCAAGTTCTCATACGAATCAGAAATGCTTCAGTGGATGCTTGGTAGCCAGGATGACAGACAGGAGGGTTGCTTCATTAGGCCAACGTAAAGATCAATTACTGTACAATCTGGTGTAGCCAATTTTAAAGTATCTCAAATTTCTACATAAAGTTAAATGATATCTGAGAATTTTTTTTAGCCAAATAACGTGGCAACCACTAACCCTCTATTCCCCATCCCTTAGCACCAGTAAGTACCAGTAAGAGCTGAAGCTGGAATTTAAACCCAAGGATGTCTGACTCTTTTGAAAATAGCATCATATAAATGAGCCTCACGGAACAATTAGGATATGAAAATCAAGACTGGCGGGGACCAAAAGGGAAGAAGAAAGGAGGAGGCACGGTGAAGTCCTCCAGCAGAAGATAGTAGAAAGAACAAAGTTACGGAGGTGGGAACCCTTGAGTATGTGCAAGAATTACCACATGTTTTTTCTGGTAGTATAAGAGATGTGGAGGGAAGAGGTACACATAATGCTGGAAAGGCTGATTCAGGCATTCCAGTAGCAGGCTAAGCCAAAGAGATAAACTTCATTCTGGAGGCAATGAGTAATACTGAGGGCTTTAAAGCAGGGAGATGGCATAACTACAGGTAGACTCTGGGAAAACTAATCTTGCTATGACATAGAAGATGGATCAAAGAAAAGAAAGGCATCTTGCACATAGCATATTTTTATATTGAATGGATGAGGCAGAAATGTACTGTGTTTCTCTAACACAATATCAAGTTCAATCTACCCAACACCACTTGATATTGTTTAGTTTGCTACTTAGAAAACAAACTCCACTCATTCTAGAAAGAAATAACATTACTGGCACTATAAAAAGAAGTAAAATATATTCACCAGTCAAATGTGACCGTCTAAAATGTCTACTCTTGCAAAAATTAATATTTTCCTCTTCTATTCAGTGGGCAGTACATCTAAGTTGCTGTTGTGACTGCTGAAAAAGAAGACAAAATTAACCAAGTGTAAAAGTTAGGCAGTGAGAAGTGACCATCCCTCTTCTGCAACAGTGTGGAAAGGTCATTGGAAAATAAGGAGATCACAAGCTGTAATCTCATATTTTCTATGCCCTCTTGTAGTCCCCTAGTGAAACACATACTAAGTCAGAGCTTGTTTGATGATGCCAAACTTTCTTCTGCACAGGTTGTAGTAATATTTGCAAAGCATCAACTACTCAATGAGAAGCCAAAGTTGAGAAACAGTCACACCTACCTGATTTTCTTCATGGGAAACCCTCATCTGCTCCTTGAGGACAGACATGCGGGCTGCTTCTTCTTTCCTCAAGACTCTCTCTTTCTTAAGCTCAGGACTCCAAAAGGTCTTGATACTGTTCATGGAAGATCCCAATTTGCTGTCCTTGATGTCTAGCTCTTTCCGAAGGAGGTCATTCTCTCTCTGAAGTTCCTTGAGCTGGGCTTGAAGGTCTAACATTGTGCTATCCCTTACCTGCCTCAACATAGAGGGGACCTGGTGGTGGTGATGATGGGATGAGCTGGTCAAACCACCATGTTGATCTGTGTATGAAAGGACATCTGTATGGGAAAGTCCAGCAGAAGCAATATTGGGACTACTCCCCATCGCTGTGACACGACCTCCATACACAGCTCTATTTGTGGCCCTTCCCAGAGTCATGGTGCCCTTTGGGTAAGTTGTTGAAGCCACCCCCTCATGATCACTGAGATACATGGGTCCAGACGTAGCATAGGCTGCATTAAGGGATTGGATGTTCTCCATGGACAGAGTCTTGCCTGTTCCTCCACCTCCCCCACTACTTGTTCTTCGATGGCCCAAACGAGGAGACCTTGGCAAACGAGGAGATCTGGAAGGGCTCCCTTCCAGATTGGTGATTGTTCTTGCACTTCCATACATTTTTCTTCTATTATGAGGTGATACTGAAGAGAAGGAATGCAATACTAAGTTGATGATTAAGCCAATATTTCCACTGTTGGCCAGAATTTTCACTGTATTTTACTCATAGTCTGTACCAGAAAATGACTCCAATCTGAGATCTGAAAAATGATAAAAAGAATAATCAAAAACAAACTCCCTCGGAACTCTGACTATAACTTCATTATGTTTTTAAATATATAAAGATATAGATCAATGGTGACAATAATAAATAGATGATATATAGGTAGAAATAATCATGTTCAATTAAAAAGAAAAGTGACCCCAAAACTTACTACATCTAAACATTTTGTAAATGTTTACAAAACATTTGTAAACAGCTTGAAAGGCACCAGTGGCATACAGGGAGGAATTAAAGTGTCTGGCATCAAGGTGAGAGCTGGGAAACAGTTATCTCCCAGACAGAAAGGCAAGTAGGGGCCATTGTCCCTTTTTAAATGCTCCCCACACAGAGCCACAGAGCTGGCAGGCAGGCACAATATCTGATGCTCCATCAACCTGGCTAACACTGTTTGACCCACCTTAGAGATCTCAAGAGACTCCACCCCACCCAACTAATGGGCCCACCCATTCTGCTTTTCCATATGAATGGCTAGTCTTGGCTCATGCTTCACAACTTCCTAAATCCTCTCAAACAAGAAACAGCTGGCCTCAGTTGTTAAATGATAAAAAGAATAATCAAAATCAAACTTCCCAGGCTAGCACTAGCAGCAGCCAGCCTAGATTCAGAGCTTGGCTTTACCTAGGAATTTCCAAGCCCAGCACAAGTAGCAACCATCTCCGATTGCTTTATACCTCAGGCAGGGTGGTCTTAGGCAAAACACAGGTCGGGGCTGACCTTGGCCTGCACCATCCAAGAAACCCCAGAACATGCGCACCCAGTGGACAGCTACAGACCATGTAGGACCACCACCACCCTGCCCCTGCACAGCTGATCCTCTACAGAGGGCAGAGGTTGATGGTAAGTGGTCACAGCCAATCCTTGCAGCTCACTGGCCCGGGTAAATCCCTCCCATCGATCTGCCAATAGCAACCAAGGCTCAACTACAAGAGGAAGGTGTAATCAGCCCACACAAAGGGCATACCTCAAGTACCCAGCTTGGGTGATATGGGAAGCTGTGCCACTGGACCCTACAAGACACCTACTACATTAGGCCATGATATCAAGACATGGAGTCAAAGCAGCTCTACTTAATACATAGAAACAAACATAGGGAGGCTGCCAAAATTAGAAGACAAAGAAACAAGGTCCAAATGAAAGAACAGATCAAAATCCAGAAAAAGAGCTAAACGAAACGGAGATAAGCACTCTGTCAGATGCAAAGTTCAAATCACTGGTTATAAGGATGCTCAAGGAACTTAAGACATCAGTAGCATAAAAATGATATAGTCAGAAATGAAGGATACACTAATTGAAATAGAGAACAATTTACAGAGAAACAACAGTACAGAGGATGAAGCCGAGAATCAAATCAATGATTTGGAATATAAGGAAGCAAAAAAAACAACCAATAGGAATAACAAGAAAAAAAAAGAATAAAAAAAAAGAGGATAGTGTAGTCAGCCTCTGGGACAACTTTAAGCATTCCAACATTGGCATCATAGAGATGCCAGAAGAATAAAAAGAGAAAGAAACTGGAAATCTATTTGAAAAAATAATAAAAGAAAACTTCCCTAATTTGGTGAAGGAAATAGACATACAAATCCAGGAAGCACAAAGAGTCCCAAACAAGATGGATGCAAAGAGGCCCACTCCAAGACACATCATAATTAAAACACCAAAGGAAAAAGATAAAAAGAGAATCTTAAATGCAGCAAGAGAAAAGCAGTTAGCTAGCTTCAGAGGAGTTCGCATAAGACTGTCAGCTGATTTCTCAAAAGAATCTTTGCAGACTAGATAGAGTTGGCAAGAAATATCCAAAGTTATGAAAAGCAGGGACCTACGGCCAAGATTGCTCTACCTAGCAAAGTTATCATTTAGAATCAAAAGACAAAAAAAGAGCTTTCCAGACCAGAAAACACTAAAGGAGTTCATCATCACCAAACCATTATTATATGAAACATTAAAGGAACTTACTTTAAAATAAGCCCTGCCTGGTGTGGCTCAGTGGATTGAGTACTGGCCTGCAAACCAAAGAATTGCCTGTTCATTCCCAGCGAGGGCACATGCCTGGGTTGCAGGCCAGGTCCCCAGTAGAGGGTGCTCAAGTGGCAACCACACATTGATGTTTCTCTCCCTCTTTTTCTCCCTCCTTTCCCCTCTCTAAAAATAAAATAAAACTTTTAAAAAGGAAAAAAAAAGAAAAAGATCAAAACTATGAACAATAAAATGGCAATAAATGCATGTCTATCAACAATTGAATCTAAAAAACAAGCTAAGCAAACAAGAAGAACAGAGACAGAATCATGGATATGGAGAGCATTTTGATGGATACCATATGAGAGGAGGGTGTGGGGGAATGGATAAAGAGGTGAGGGGATTAAGAAGTGCAAATAGGTAGTTACAGAATACCCATGGGGATATAAAGCATAATATAGCAAATGGATTAGCCAAAGAACCTATGTATGACCCATGGGCATGAACAACATTGTGGGGATTGCCTGAGGGAGCTGGTGGTGCTGGGTGAAAGGGGCACAAGGGGAAAAATTGGACAACTGTAATAGCATAATCAATAAAATATAATTTAAAAAGAAAAGGAGCTTCTATGTAAAAAGGGCTTCTGTGAAACTAAAGCTAATGTAAAAGAAACCAGAGCCCAACTTTTTAAGAGTGTGAAATCAAGCCAGGTGACATCACTTGATACCTTGGATACAGCAGTCACTGAAACTACATCTATCCCTGGGCCATTTTAGTTACATATGCCAGGTAGACTCACTGAATATGCCAGGTAGGCCCTAATTCTTTACCCCTTCCCGCATCTGCCTCCTTGTCAGTGCCCTCAAAATCTGACCCTAGGTTCTGTCATTTGACTCTCTTAGGCCAATAAGAGGATAACAAATACAGCAAAGTGGAGGCCTGAAACAGCACTTGTGTAGTTACTTTTTTGTATCCTTGCCCGAGGACATATTTTCATTGGAAGGGAAAGAGAGTAACATCAATGAGACAGAGAGGCACTAACTAGTGCCCAGACTGGGGATCGCACACTATTGGACCGGGGATCAAACCCACAACGTAGGTGTATGCCCTGACCAGGAATCAAACCCACAACCCTTCCATGCAGGGGTGTCCATCCTGCGGCCCATGGGCCACATACAGCCCAGGATGGTTGTGAATGAGGCCCAACACAGAATCGTAAATTTACTTAAAACGGTAAGAGATTTTTTTTTTTGTGAGTATGTATCATAATGTATTTAATGTGTGGCCCAAAACAACTCTTCTTGTTCCAGTGTGGCCCAGAGATGCCAAAAGGCTGGATACCCCTGCATGATGTTCCAAACAACTTAGCTACACCATCCAGGGAATGTATTTACTTTCTTGCTCATTTTTTTCTGCCAATGCAATAAATCATGCCAAGCCTAGCCTTCTGGGAAATAAGAACATAAAGCAGAGTCAGGGTATCCTAGCCAGTAGCTAATCTCAAGACATTAGAACAAGTCCATCTAAGACCAGCAGAGGTCCTAACCAACCAACAGCTGATCACAGATGCATGATCAAGTCCAGCTGAGAGCCAATGAACTCCATATACTCATGGAGTAAATAAATTCATACTTCTCAATATGTCACTGCTGTTTTGTAGTTGGCTATTTTGCAACATTACTAGGGCAACAGATAACTGATATACTCACCCATAAATTTCCTTTTTTGCTACCGTCAGTTATAGTTGTCACTTTTACTCTAAAAAGTCCTCACATAGAGTATGAAAAAATATTTTCCATAAAGACACCTCCTTTCCCTAAAAAGTGACTATAAAGAATTATATATCTGTCTCTAACTAAGGAACTTAGTTTTAAATGTTTATATTGCTAAGAGCTTAATTTTGTTTTACTTGAGAAATACACAAAAATCATTTTGTATCTAATTTGCATGAATAACCTGTTTCATTTAAAAAGGTAAGTCAATAATTCTAACAATTGGAATTCAGTTTACGTAAATTATGAGAGAGATGGTGAAATAAAGTGAACATTACATAACTATTATTTAATGAAATGAAAAGATGTTCATGACATACAAGTAGTCAGGGTGGGCAGAGAACAGACTACAAAATATTTTTGTGGTTTACTTATACTCTTCTTGTAAGACACATACGCACTAACAGAAGACCGAAACACCATGTGGAAAAGGGAACAGTGGTGGGAGTCCAAGTGGTTTTCATGTTCTTTTATTTGCATGTTCTAAATTTTTTATACACACACACACACACACACATCTTTTCTATTGTCTTTTGCCTTCTATTTCATTTATTTGTTCTGCTCCAAATTTTGTTATTCTCTTCCTCCTACTAACTTTGGGCTTAGTTTGTTCTTCTTTTCCTTGTTCTTTGACATGTAAAGTTAGATTATCTGAGATCTTTCTTTTTTTCTTAATGTAGGATTTTATCACTATGAACTTAGGAAAATAATTTCTTTATTTTTCCCTTCTATAATTCAAACAGTCAAATGAAATTGTCTTATGCTTAGAATCTAGGAATGAATCTAGGTCCAGCTGGGCCAGCACTTATAAAGTTGTCTTCCTAAGAAGACAGAGAAAATTGAAAGTCCAGTTAGCCAAGGCTTTGAAGAACTGCAACAATCAACAAAAAAAAAAGTGGCTTTGCTCCTTTTGGAAACACACATACATACAATCCACTTGTATCATATGATATACATAGATATGTTAGCTTGTTTGTAATAATGTTTCTATATTTAAAGAACAATTCATGTTGACAACAGCCTATGATTTCCTTGGGTTCTCCTTTTCTATGTTTAATATCATGTTTATGGATTGACAAGCTTTCAACTTTTCATATGTTCTGAAACAGTGGACATTATGAGACTTCTCTATGCCTAAAATATTTGGGAGGACACATCCATAAACTGAATGGGCTTAGTTGTTGATTACTTTTTAATTTTTTTACTTTTTTTACTAATCTATTCATGTTTGTTACCAATTTGTGTCAATGGT